GAATTGGGCATAAAATATGCTCTGAACGTCATCTAAATCACAACAATAGAAGAACACAGTCTGCTGAACATAATACTACACAAACATTAGATGTTGCCATGGTTTAATTGCACATAACATGTAAACATTCACAATGCAGCGAGGAAAAAGTATGTGAGGCCCTAGCTTAATGACTTCTCCCAGAGCTAATTGGAGCCAGGAGTGAGCCAACCTTGACTCCAATCAGTGTGATGATATTGGATGTGTTGCTGACAGCTGTCCTGCCCTTAAAAAACACACACCTGTTTTGGGTTTACTGGTTTCAAGAAGCACTGTCTGATGTGAACCATGCCTCGCAGAAAAGAGCTCTCAGAAGACCTACGATGAAGAATTGTTGACTTTCATGAAGCTGGAAAGGGTTACAAAAGTATCTCCTTGAGCCTTGATGTTCATGTGTCCACGGTAAGACAGACTGTCTACAAATGGAGAAAGTTTAGCACTGTTGCTACTCTCCCTAGGCGTGGTTGTCCTGTAAAAATGACTGCAAGAGCACAGCGCAGAATGCTGCATGAGGTAAAGAAGAATCCCAGAGTGTCGGCTAAAGACCTACAGAAATCTCTGGCACATGCTAACATTTTTGTTGACACATCTACAATAAGGAAAACATTAAACAAGAATGGAGTACATGGGAGGACACCACGGAGGAAGCCATTGCTGTCCAAAAAGAAGATTGCAGCACGTTTGAAGTTTGCAAAAGAGCACCTGGATGTTCCACAGCACTACTGGCAAAATATACTGTGGACAGATGAAACCAAGATTGAGTTGTTTGGGAAGAACACACAACACTATGTGTGGAGAAAAAAAGGCCCAGCACACCAACATCAAAACCTCATCCCCACTGTAAAACATGGCGGAGGGAGCATCATGGTTTGGGGCTGCTTTGCTTCCTCAGGGCCTGGACGGATTGTTGTCATTGATGGGAAAATGAATTCCAGAGTTTATCAAGACATTTTGCAGGAAAACGTACGACCATCTGTCCACCAACTGAAGCTCCGCAGAGGATGGGCGATGCAACAGGACAATGACCCAAAGCATACAAGTAATTCAACAAAACAATGGCTGCAACAGCACAGAATACGCCTTCTGGAGTGGCCCAGTCAGAGTCCTGACCTCAACCCGATTGAAATGCTGTGGCATGACCTTAAGAGAGCGATTCACACCAGACATCCCAAGAATATTGCTACACTGAAACAGTTTTGTGAAGAGGAGTGGTCCAAAATGACTCCAGATCGTTGTGCAGGTCTGATCTGCAACTACAGGAAACGTTTGGTTGAGGTTATTGCTGCCAAAGGAGGGTCAACCAGTTATTAAGTCCAAAGGTTCACATACTTTTTCCTCCCTGCACTGTGAATGTTTACATGTTATGTGCAATTAAACCATGGCAACATCTAATGTTTGTGTAGTATTATGTTCAGCAGACTGTGTTCTTCTATTGTTGTGACTTAGATGACGTTCAGAGCACATTTTATGCCCAATTCATGCAAAACTCCACGTAATCCCAAGGGGTTCACATACTTTTTCTTGCAACTGTATATATATATATATCTATATATATATTTAAATCAGAGGCCCTAGAGAATAAAATGGTGGGTGTTGCACTTTTTTTTATGCCACACGGTATTTGTGAAACGGTTTTTCAAAAGCAATTTTTTGGAAGAAATACTCTTTTTTAAAATTTTAATGCACAAAAAAAATATAATACTCAATTGTTTGATAAAATATAAAATACAATATTATGTAAATAGATACAAAACATATCATGCTTTAAAACTGTACATGACCGTCCCGCACAATGGCGAAAAACTACATACATTTTATTATTCACAGGCGGTATTTCAGTTGCCTGTCTCCATGGTTATAGCATTCACACACAAATATATTTCCCATGCAAATCTAGTGCTTGTGCACTAAGTACGTTTGAATTATCTCTGCATTCATCTGTGCTGCTTTTCCAATAATAATGAGGCACTATTCATTACATTGATTGACATACATATACATTGGGAGTGTTTGATGCTGAAGATGGAATAATTGCTGGCACCCCAGTAGAGTAAACAGTGGATTTCAGCTTCTTTTCTAGATGCTGTGACTGCTCAACTACCTGAGCATGCACGGTTCAAATTACAGAAAGTAAGAGTTATCAGGGAACTTGATTATGATACATACAGTATATTTAAAGCATAGCTCCACCCAAAAAGGGAAGTTCTGCTTTAATGCTTTGTCCCCAGCTCCCTGTTAAGGATTTGCACCTTTTTGGAGTCGGGTGGAGGAGCGGGTACCAAAATTTGACAAGTACCTGCTCCCACTTCAAGTGAGGACCACCTAAGGTGATTGAAAATGGAAGTTATCCTCCCCCCTCCCTCCTAGTAGTCTTCTGGGGCATGTGACAGGTCCCAGAAGACTATGGGGCCATTCACAAAGCACAGGGCTGTCATAGCTGGGTGCCCACATTGAAGATGCCAGTGCCAGGGAGAGAAGATGGCCAGTGAAACCAGCGGTGATGAGGACACCGCTGGACCTAAGGACAGGTAAGGGTCTGTATTTTAAAAGTCAGCAGCTACAGTTTTTGAAGACAGTTTTTGAAGACCTTTCCCCTTTGCCTACAATTCATATTAGCATGCATCTGTAGTACTACCCCAGAAGGAGCCGCTGTATAGGATTGGTCCCCTGCTCTTCGCCTCAATCTGAATTTAACTGCGTTAAGCATTTTTATTGAATGAAATAGATTCATTCACTGTGTGATTAGCTGTGATTGGCCACAGTTAATCACATGGTACAGATGGGTTGTGATTGACCCTGTTCCATGTGATCACTAAGACCAATCACAGCCAGCAACACAATTGTACACAATGAATGGCATGCATTGAAGGCATTCATTGTCTACAATTGCCATGTGATCTGCTGTGATTGGTCACAGCGATCACATGGTACTGGCTGCAGGCCGGTAAACTGACAGATCACGCTGGAGCGTGGCCCACTGAGCCCACGTGAGGCATGTTCTGGGGAGGACATCAGATGATGTTCTTCCAAAACAATAGGGCTCCTGTCTGGCTGTCATTTTGCAATGGTCAGGACAGGAAGCGGTTAAAGTAGAATTCCAGGATACCACCTAACTAGACTTAAGACGTCTTCCTTCCCCCTCCTAAGACCTATGCTGACTAACCTGTGTAAAAAAATGTATATATACTTACTTATTTTCATGATATGTAGTAATAAGAAAAGAACCTCCTGTAATGTTCTCACTGGGAGAGATGTAAGCAAAGTTTGTACACAGTCATTGGGACCCATTTAGAGAGACCCAGTCATGTTCCCTACTTGGATGTGGGTTGAAGCCTTCCCTGGTTGATATAAATGATGTGGGAGGAGCCAGAGTTTATTGAGTTGATCACCTGGCACTTGCTGGACTTTCTTGGGCGCTCTGAAGCCTTCTTCACAACAATTGAACCTCTCTCCTTGAAGTTCTTGATGATTTGATGGTTGATTTAGGTGCAATCTTAGTAGCAGCCAGGGGCAGACTGATCATTTGGAAACTTGGGCACTGCCCAAGGGCCCAGGGTCAGTAGGGGGCCCCATGAGATTCCCCTGGTACCTTTTTCATAGGCTTTTTTGAGTTTGGGCAAGGACACAGGGGCCCCATGGTCCCCTATCGCCCGGGGGCCCTATGAGTTGTCAGTCCACCCCTGGTAGCAGCAATATCCTTGCCTGTGAATCCATTTTTGTGCAAAGCAATGATGACTGCACGTGTTTCCTTGCAGGTAAATTAATATTTGTCACATCAGAAAAAAAACAGCGCAAAACCAAAGTCTTCAAATATATATTATATGAGTGAACAAACAAAAAAATCAAAAAATCAAATGTCCATGTGCAGAAAAGTCCTTATTCCCATTGAGTTCAGTATATAAAATATGCTTCCACCTTCCACCACGCGAAAAAATAATATCAACCGCAGGGGCGGACTGACAACTCATGGGGTCCCTGGGCAATAGGGGATCATGGGGCCCCTGTGTCCTTGCCCAAACTCAAAAAAGCCTATCAAAAAGGTACCAGGGGCATCTCATGGGGCCCCCTACTGACCCCGGGCCCTCGGGCAGTGCCCGAGTTTCCAAATAGTCAGTCCGCCCCTGATCAACCGCACTCACCAGATAGAGGTGAGTAATGAGCCTTATAGGATATAAGGGATCCTATACCCCCTTTAAACAAGATCAAATCTTCTTTTTCACCCTTTCTGGGTATAATAATCGCCTCCACTTTATTCCTCCATAGTGCAGAGAAAAAGAAACTACATAGTGTAATACTGCCACAGTCACATTAAGAATTAAGAACGCCCTGTGGGTGGGGCGAAACGCGTTGACGCACCTCCGGTCCGCCGTTATTCTGGTTCACGTCACTTCCGGTGTCTGGAACGCACGCCGAGGGGTGCGCTCCAGGCGGCCATCTTAGGGGTGGAAGGCTGTTCATCCTCTGCAGTCCAATAGAAGCGTGAGATCCCTAATTTTTTTCCTGTGGAACTTGGATACTTTTAAGCCATCTAGGCTATTAAACAAGGCTTTTGATTATATTTTACCATGTGAGTGGCCTGAATTTATATTTTTTATTTTAATGTGACTGTGGCAGTATTACACTATGTAGTTTCTTTTTCTCTGCACTATGGAGAAATAAAGTGGAGGTGATTATTATACCCAGAAAGGGTGAAAAAGAAGATTTGATCTTGTTTAACTAGTTGCCGACCGCAGATAGCCGAATGACGGCTGCACTGCGGCCGGCCAGTTCGGAGTGGACGTCATATGACGTCCTCCCAGAACTTGCTCTCCTGCGCGCCCCAGGGGGCGCGCACCCGGCGATCTCCGTGATCACTGTGTCCTACGGACACAGCTGATCACGTGATGTGGTAAAAGGCCAATCACAGCGGCCTTTTACCACGTGATCAGCGGTGTCCAATGACACGCTGATCAGAGGGAAATGCAAGTGCCGGTTGTCGGCTGCACTTTCCTCACGCTGTCAGATCGTGAGGAAAGTACTGCCGAGAACCGGCAGTTGTCAGAGTGGGGATCGGCACCGATCATCAGGGCACTGATGATCAGTGCCCTGATGATCGGTGCCCAGCAGTGCCACCCGCAAGTTCCGCCCACCTTTGCCCAGCAGTGCGCCCACTAGCTCCGCCCACCTGTGCCCAGCAGATCACCCACATGTGCCCAGCAGTGCACCCACCTGTGCCCAGCAGTGCCACCTACCTGTGCCCAGCAGTGCCACCCATCTGTGCCCACCCACCTGTGCCCACCAGTGCCACCCACCTGTGCCCACCCACCAGTGCTGCCCACCAGTGCCACCCACCAGTGCAGCCCAGCAGTGCCGCCAGTCAGTGCCACCAGTCAGTGCCCAGGGGTTGTGCCAGTCAGTGCCGCCAGTCAGTGCCCAGCAGTGATGCCAGTCAGTGCCGTCTATCAGTACCCATCATCAGTGTCACCTATCAGTGCCGCCTATCAGTGCTGCATATTAGTGCCGCCTATCCGTGACACCTCATTAGTGCTGTCTATCAGTGCCACCTATCCGTGCCACCTCATTAGTACTGCCTATCAGTGCCCTTTAGTGCTGCCTATCAGTGCCCATCAGTGCCACCTATCAGTGCCCATCAGTGCTGCCTCATCAACGCACATCAGTGAAGGAGAAAAAATACCTGTTTGAAAAATTTTATAATAGAAACAAAGAAACTTTTTTTTTTCAAATTTTTTGCACTTTTTTTATTTATAACGCAAAAAGTAAAGCGCCCAGTGGCGATTAAATACCACCAAAAGAAATCTCTATTTGTGAGAAAAAAATGATCAAAATTTCATATGGGTACAATGTTGCATGACCGCGCAATTGTCTATCAAAGTGCGGCTGAAAATTGGCCTGGTAAATAAGGGGGTATAAGTGCCAGGTAGGCAAGTGGTTAAAGGGGGTATAGGATCCCTTATATCCTATAAGGCTCATTACTCACCTCTATCTGATGAGTGCGGTTGATATTATTTTTTCACGTGGTGGAAGGTGGAAGCATATTTTATATACTGAACTCAATGGGAATAAGGACTTTTCTGCACATGGACACTTGATTTTTTGTTTGTTCACTCATATAATATATATTTGGAGATTTTGGTTTTGCGCTGTTTTTTTTCTGATGTTATTTTTTGGTGTTTTTCACTGTTGCACAGCTGCATAATCACTCAGGTTTTGTCTTTAGGCACTGGGATATATATATGTATTATATATATTTTATTTTGTTTTTAAATTAATATTTGTGTTATTCTCAAAACTTTTGACCAGGACTGTACACTAGATTCTGATGTAAGCAGGGCACTCTGCCAGACTCTGATGTAAAGGGGGCACTCTGGGGATACTGATGTATGGGGGAACTGTGATGTATAGGGAGAATGCTGGGGACTTTGATGAAAGGGAGAACTCCTAATAGGAGAGTGGCGCTCACCCTGACTACTGCACTCCATACATTGTTTTGTTTTTCTACTTACTCCTGACCCCTTTATCTATACATTATGCTGTACATAGGCCTGAACAAGGTATTCATTATCTTAACAGTTTATGGTTTTAATGAAGTTCTTCTTTTAGGTTAGGCTCAGTAAGGCAGCTCATTTATTTGTCAAATTTTTCGTTCAACCAGCAGGTTGAACAAAAAAAAAAAATTAGTCAATTCTCCCATTCATACATTTGAGGTGGATGAGGGAATCACTAACTGAGGTTTTGACAGTGGGGAGACCTCCCAACCATCAGAATACATTGATCGGTACTGCTGGCCACTGCCAGCAGCACTGATTGAGCAGAACTTTTCCTAGAGGCTGGTTGTACAGAAGTCGATCAGTGGATTAACTTCTGTACAACCAGCCTGCCCATAAATAGATTGAAATTTGTCTGCTCCCTAATGAACCAGCCAAATTTCCATCCATGTATGGCCATCTTAGATCAAAAAAAGTTAAATTTTTGTGCGCATAAAAACATATGTAATGAAAATGTTTAATTAAAAAAAATTTTCCTTTGGTCTTGAGGTTATTTGTCTGTGAGATCAGTTGTGGCACAGTAATTAGTATATTGTGGGTACAAAGACTGTGGTATATGTGGGCATTGTATACAGCAGGTGCAGATTCTGTGCAATTCTCCTCTAAGGCCCACCACTGTCCAGCCACAGAACTTTCCTGTTCTGCCCCAGGGTCCTCTTTGATAATCCTAGACTTGCTCACATTTTGTCATGCTATTTTGACATTTTAATTGTAAAGCCAGGTAGATTATGTGTTATAGGTATTTTTAATGTTTACATATTCTTTATACTGTTTAACCTCCTTAGCGGTATTCCCGAGTGTAGCTCGGGGTAAAATTTGAGTACCAAGAGCGGTAACCCTGAGCTACACTCGGGCTTACCATGCGGCGCTGCTCAGGGAGTCACTGCAGCACATACCTTGTCCTTCGCTCCCGCGATGTGTCCCCTGCAGCGTCCCCGGCCATCTCCTCCAGCCGATGCCGGCATCCGGCTTCCGTGTTCCGGTCCCAGTGACGTCGGGACGTACGGGCGCCGGAACCGGCGGGAAATTTGAAATTTTTGAAAAATTTCATTTTTTTTTAAAATGATTATTACATAGTAAAACATTGCTGTTTCAATGCATTTCACTTAAAAAAGTGACATTCATTAAATACACTAAAATCACATAGTATAACATTCCTGTATCAAACCATTTCACATACATTTTGTCCCGAGTGCTTTGTCCGGCGCCCTGCCTGCATTTTGACTGTTCTTTCTGCCTGGAAACTTAGAAAAGTCCATGGCGTCCAAAAAGCGTCCCTTTAGGTCAAAAGCGGTTTTAGACCGCTAGAGAACAGCGATAGTAAATCAGAACCACTTGCAGAATTGAGTGATAATGATTCGTGGGGGAAATTCCTCATCAGACAATGAAAACGATTTTGCGACTTTGCTCAGCGATGTGTGAACTTGGCGCTATATTTCACATTTCAGTGTTTTTGGTTTGATTATATTATTGAATTAAATTTATTATTATTCTATTATTATTTTTTATGATTATTTATTAAATTATAATTTATGATTTCATGTTTCAGATTTTATCATCCCCGGGATGTTTACTAGACTCTTGTTCGGACAGATTTCAGTGAGTTATTCCTAAAAATTACAGCCTACAATAAAAAAACTACATATTTCCATGCAAAAAAATGGTACCGCTTTCAGCACAAAAAAATCTGAAATAATCATACCTCCGAGGAGGTTAAAAGCTAGGTTTGCATTTGGGAACATAATGGGGTTTATTTACAAAAGCTGGAGAGTCCAAAATCAGACTCCCTTCTGCATAGAAACCAATCAGCTTCCAGGTTTCATTGCCAAAGCTTCATTGAAAAAGCTGAGGTTAGAAGCTGATTGGTTTCTATGCAGAAGGGAGTCTGATTTTGGACTCTCCAGCTTTAGTAAATAAACCCCAATATGTCATCTCCCCTGCTGACTCCCTGTACACTGCCATACTGACCCCAGTACACTCCCCTGCTGACCACCCATCCTCAGCCCTGCTGACCCCTGTCATCTCTTTGATGACCCCTGTTCTCTGCCCTACAGACTTCTATACGCCCGCCTGCTGACCTCCCATTCTCTGCCTCTCTGACCCACTACACACTACTCTGCTGCCCCCTGTCCTCTGCCCTGCTGACCCCTGTCATCTCTTTGTTGACCCCTGTTCTCTGCCCTACAGACTTCTATACGCCCGCCTGTTGACCTCCCATTCTCTGCCTCTCTGACCCACTACACACACTACTCTGCTACCCCCTGTCCTCTGCCCTGCTGACCCCTGTCATCTCTTTGTTGACCCCTGTTCTCTGCCCTACAGACTTCTATACGCCCGCCTGCTGACCTCCCATTCTCTGCCTCTCTGACCCACTACACACTACTCTCCTGCCCCCTGTCCTCTGCCCTGCTGACCCCTGTCATCTCTTTGTTGACCCCTGTTCTCTGCCCTACAGACTTCTATACGCCCGCCTGCTGACCTCCCATTCTCTGCCTCTCTGACCCACTACACACTACTCTGCTGCCCCCTGTTCTCTGCCCTGCTGACCCCTGTCAACTATTTGTTGACCCCTGTTCTCTGCCCTACAGACTTCTATACGCCCGCCTGCTGACCTTCCATTCTCTGCCTCTCTGACCCACTACACACTACTCTGCTGCCCCCTGTCCTCTGCCCTGCTGACCCCTGTCATCTCTTTGTTGACCCCTGTTCTCTGCCCTACAGACATCTATACGCCCGCCTGCTGACCTCCCATTCTCTGCCTCTCTGACCCACTACACACTACTCTGCTGCCCCCTGTCCTCTGCCCTGCTGACCCCTGTCAACTCTTTGTTGACCCCTGTTCTCTGCCCTACAGACTTCTATACGCCCGCCTGCTGACCTCTGCCATTCTCTGCCTCTCTGACCCACTACACACTACTCTGCTGCCCCCTGTCCTCTGCCCTGCTGACCCCTGTCATCTCTTTGTTGACCCCTGTTCTCTGCCCTACAGACTTCTATACGCCCGCCTGTTGACCTCCCATTCTCTGCCTCTCTGACCCACTACACACTACTCTGCTGCCCCCTGTCCTCTGCCCTGCTGACCCCTGTCATCTCTTTGTTGACCCCTGTTCTCTGCCCTACAGACTTCTATACGCCCGCCTGCTGACCTCCCATTCTCTGCCTCTCTGACCCACTACACACTACTCTGCTGCCCCCTGTCCTCTGCCCTGCTGACCCCTGTCATCTCTTGGTTGACCCCTGTTCTCTGCCCTACAGACTTCTATACGCCCGCCTGCTGACCTCCCATTCTCTGCCTCTCTGACCCACTACACACTACTCTGCTACCCCCTGTCCTCTGCCCTGCTGACCCCTGTCAACTATTTGTTGACCCCTGTTCTCTGCCCTACAGACTTCTATACGCCCGCCTGCTGACCTTCCATTCTCTGCCTCTCTGACCCACTACACACTACTCTGCTGCCCCCTGTCCTCTGCCCTGCTGACCCCTGTCATCTCTTTGTTGACCCCTGTTCTCTGCCCTACAGACTTCTATACGCCCGCCTGCTGACCTCCCATTCTCTGCCTCTCTGACCCACTACACACTACTCTGCTGCCCCCTGTCCTCTGCCCTGCTGACCCCTGTCAACTATTTGTTGACCCCTGTTCTCTGCCCTACAGACTTCTATACGCCCCCGCCTGCTGACCTTCCATTCTCTGCCTCTCTGACCCACTACACACTACTCTGCTGCGCCCCCTGTCCTCTGCCCTGCTGACCCCTGTCATCTCTTTGTTGACCCCTGTTCTCTGCCCTACAGACATCTATACGCCCGCCTGCTGACCTCCCATTCTCTGCCTCTCTGACCCACTACACACTACTCTGCTGCCCCCTGTCCTCTGCCCTGCTGACCCCTGTCA